AAGCTTAAAGTCTTGTGGGATCTGAGGCCCAGGTCCAATTCAGCTGCCTTGACAGCCCAAGGGGAGGGAGGTGCTCAGTTAAAGCTGTCACAGCTTGAAATGAAAAAAGAATAGTAAGAAAGAAGTGACTGAATGGTATTAAGTCATTAAAAAAGATAATTCCTTAAAAATGAATAGTGGAGAATTAGCAAGACAGGATTCTTGCTCACCTCAAAGTCCTAAAAATCTGTGTCTTTTGGACTTCCAGAGATTAAATATGTCTTTTGAAGTACAAGAACGGAAAGCTAAATTTGATTCTGCAAGGGAGATGCTTCTTTATGGCATTATCATTGAAATGTAGCAGTGGTTACTTTAAGCCTCTGTTCTGAGTCTACTGACAGCTCTTCAGCATCAGTTTCTTTCACTAGCGATCTATTTATCTTTCAATCCCATTTCCCCAAAATGAGGACGATCAATGTGTTCTACCTTAAGTGATTGAAAGACAGGCTTGAACTTGATAAGAGTCTTGTAGCCTTCTTTTTTGCTAACACGGCCTTCAACATAGTTTAAAATAAGCAATTTAAAGAAATGATCGAAGTGTTTCACCATCCTCCTCCAAGCAGTCTCAAAGTTGTTGCACCTAATAGCAAGTCTGCAAACAGAGGTACATTTTGATGAATAACTAAAAGACTTGGTACTGGCAGTGATGCAAAATGTTTCTGAAAGCAGGAGATGACTTTGCATTAGCTACAGAAAACATTATTTTGGGGGAAGAAAGGCTCCTAATATTTGATTCTATATCTGAAAGGAAAATGATGGAATATTGTGTCCAGGCTGCTGAAGTGGCCATCTAGGAGCACAAAAGGAAACACAAGTCTTAGCCATATCCTCAGTCACTAAAAATAAAATGAGTGGTTTAGGTGCAATCGTGCTAAACTGCTGATATATCAATTTGCTGTAAGTAAAGAAGTGAAGCAAAATGCAGAAGTTACAGGAGAAGCATTCTGTTACCCTTGGAATTGGTCTAAAGGCTTGTTAGAAAGAGAAGGC